GATCTATCTTCCTAGTCATCAATTTGGTATTTTTCATTTATAGCTCAGTTTTACCGATTTCTTGGAATCCCAGAAAATCACAGCCTGCTTCTAGAAGAATCAGTGACCGCTGCTTAAATGTCCACAGCCCTTTGGTCAAACAATGGTCGGGCCATTTTCAGCCACTCGCCTTATTCTGAAGATTGATTTGTCTTTAATGATCTTCCACTTCTCCTTTTGGTTCTTTTCTTCCTCTAGGCCTCCTCATCTGACATTGAGCATCTACCATGCATTGGGAACTGGAACAAATGAGACAGGGCCCCTTGTCTCGAAAAAATGACAGTCTAACAGCGGACACATTTTAGTGACAGATGACTACAATTCACGATAATAAGTGCTTGAACAGGGGGAAGCAGGAGGTATATTTAGTTAATATATTTGGTAACTATTTAGTAGTTGCCTATTATGGGACAAACACTGTTCTAGTCCCTGTGGAAACAATGGTTAACAAGACAGACAAGACCTGCATTCATGAAGACCACATCCAGTGTGACTGGGAACTACTTTGGATTGGGTGGTCGGCGGGAGATATTTTTGAGGAGGGGACATTAGAGTTGAGACCTGAAAGACAATCAGGAGCCAGGCATGTGATCATCTGGGGGAAAAACGTTTTAGGCAGCGAGAATAGCAAATGCAAAAGTCCTGTGGTAGGAGCAGTCTTTGTCTGTTTAAGGAACAGAAAGAAGCCTGATGTGGCTGGAGTCTCAGTGAGATGGGCAGAGGCCATATCATAGAAGAACTGTAAGTCTGAATAAGGAGTCTGAAGTTCATTTTAGTGCAATGGTGGCTTTTAAAAGTAGGGAATGGGTGACATGATTGGATTTGCTGTTACTGTCTGAAAAATGAAATATAGGGTGCAAGATAGGATGCAGGAACAACAGTATGGAAGCTAATGCAGAAATCTGGGAGAGGATAGCAGCTTGGACTAGGATAGTAGCAGTGGGGATGGAAAGATGTGGATGGAATTAGGATACATTTTGGAGGTAGAGTCAACAGTACTTGCTAATGGATTAGCTTAGGAGAAGGAGGGAGCCCTGGTGGTGCAGTGGTTAAGAGTTCAGGCTGCTAACCAAAAGGTTAAGAGTTTGAATCCACCAGCCGCTGCTTGGAAACCAATCAACGATGGTTCCCAGGCTGGCAATTGAGTGTTACTATCTCCTGAGATGGGGAAGGCCAGAGGAAATATTAAGAGTTCTAATTTGGACCCATTTCGTCTGAAGTGCCAATTAGACTTTCAAATGGAGAAATCAAACAAGTGGTTGAAGGAACGAGTGGGGCTCAAAAGAAGTCAGGGCTGGAGATATTTGTAA